GTGAGCTCCAGTAGATTTTTTTTAGTCTACATGCTGTGATCAACATACTATACTGCTTATACTGTCTTTACACTAAGTTTTTCTACTTTAAAACTTGTAAAAAATAAAATTAAAAAAATTAAAAAAAATCACCTTTTCTTTGTTTTCTTAGAAGAGACAATGATACAATAAATAGTTTTAAAGAGTTTTTGTGGCTCCATTTAAACAGGGGGATTTCACTTCACTGAAGATGTATGTGCCACCCTGCCTAGACAACTTGCCCCTCCTTTGCACTCCATGTAAAATTGTGTAAAAAATCTGCCACTGTTCGAAAATCACAATGATTTTTGCAAATTAAGGCTCAACTAAATAAACAAAGACAATTGTGTTGTTTCAATTACTTCAAAAATAAATATTTTGATAAATAACTAACTAAATGTATTTCCCTTCTAAAAACAAAAAAAAAAACCCTAAAAGGTAACATTTGTGAAGTTATCATAGGACATTCACATCAGTTCATTTCGCATTTAAAATTTAAATCGTAGTAAACTATTATGGTTCAGCGGTTGCTCAGATGAAGAAACTTTCCCTCAGTTTATTTGAAACCTGTACATACTCCTTTAATGTTGATGTAACTTGTTACATGGATATGGAGAGAAATATGCATAAACTACTGTGTAGTAAGCTGTATTAAGATCCAGCGTAAAACTGGGACATCACGACATCGCACTCCTTGCTTTTTCTATTTGTATTTCTCTTGACATCACCAGTTTAACACTGGGACATGAACACATCTTAAGTTTGCGGATGTCGGTGAAGCGGGAAGTGTGAAATGCGTCTCAAAATTATACACATTTGTAAATCATATCGTACGTGCACTTGCAACCGTTTCGAGGTTTCTCTCCATATATAAATAGCGACTGTAAATGTCAGTCTGAATCGTCTTACCTGTAAAACCTGCCGTCATTGCCGGAAGTCAGTGTTTGGGCACACACTTTAATAACTGGGGGTGGGGTTTTTTCAGTGTAACTGAAAAGTAAAGTTTTACTTTCCTGCGTGGGACATCATTTACTGTCTAGTCTGCAACAGTGGTAAGTCCCTATTCTGGAGTTTCACATCTCTGTTTGTTTGTTTTTTTTAAACAAGTGGGGTTTTATACATGGCCACAAAGTGTCGCACGGAGTGGAGTCGCCGAGGTGCATAGTGCGTAAAAGTGGCCAAATTTTGCTTATCAGTAATAGAGTAAGCATCCTCTGGTATTAACATCTTGATAAAACTGTTGACGTGGGTTTCTATGTCATGAGCAGCTCCTGTAGGAATAAGGAGTAAGTGGACCAGAACTTTTGTCCCTATAGTGTATTTCACTTTTTACTTTTATTGTATTTACATTAAAGTAGATGT